AGGCAATGAGATGACCCATTGCAAACTCAAAGTAGGTCGACAGGAAGCCAGAAAATATGGTCCCGTTATTTAGCCAGTATAATATATATATACACTATCAAAGTCAACCCCCAAGTCTTTTCGTGGAAGGTGAAAGCTTCCCCAGTTCCTGACTGTGATACGCCCAGTCACAAACATCAACGACAAGTGGTGAAGCCAGCCAATCTTGGCCTTGGAGACGTAGAGCGCGGCCACTCCTACGAACAATAGAGCGCCGAAGTAAAAGCCAACCGCATGGTATAAAGATCGATGATTCAGGTCATGCAAAGGTGTGCGATTCCTTACCCACGGCTTTGTGAGGTAAAAGAAAGATGTCAATCCTCACCGGCTGTCTAGACATGGTACGCTGGGCAAGCCGGCAAGCCACTTCATTTCACAAACCCGAAAGGTATTTTCGCAGCACCTTGGGCTCATCCCTTGTTTTAGCCCCGAATCGGTCAGCCCGTTCACATGTGCAAACCTGAACCGGAACCATGATGAGTGCTAAAGCGTGAGGCAGGCCCCTTTTCTGCGCCTTCCAGAGTGGGAACTCGAACAGGCACCTGTTGTTGGTTGAGTTTACATGTGCAGTTTGTTGAGGGTACCTTTTTGTGTGCTTTTGTGTTTTTTTCTAAAGGGAAACCGAAAGAAAAACCACCATTTTGGGGGTCCCCTAAAATAAGACACCCCCACATGGAAACCCTTCCCAAGAAAGGAGAACAGGGTGCCACTGGGCAATCGGTCGGGGTGTTCTAAAGTTAGATCCTTCCGCATGTTCGAAGGTGGGAAGGTGGTTCACGCGAACCAGCAGAAATCACGCATCTCTGGAGTCCCCTAGGTTGGAAAACACCCACCTGGCAAGCTTGGCAGTCATTCAAGCGCCTGCAATTCAAGCTATGCGCGGTCATAGAATTTGTCGTACGTCCTACTGCCTTATGGCGCTGTTCGAATCTGACGGAGACCCAATGAGACAACAGTCACACAAATAATCAAAGCACAACTGGAATTCAGGTTACACTCCTGCCCAGCATTGCCCTTTTCTCATAGCGTGTTGAGAAGTTGTCTAACAAGATTCCTTTCACTGCTGGCCAACTGCCCCCAGCCAGGTGATTTCAATTGGAAGGCACCATCCTTCATCCTTGCAGGCCTTAGTTTGGTTGGCTGGTTGGTTGCTTGGTTGGTTGGCTGGTTGGTTGCTCGGTCAGTGGGTTGTGGGCTCTCTGGTGGAGATCCAGTCTGAGTGTTGAGGCGGGTCTGCTCCGTTGCTTGAAGTTGCTTCAGGGTTCTGACGAGTTCAGTCAGGGCGTGTGTGGTGTTGTCTTCTTTGGGCTTGGTTTTGGCAGGGTTGGGACTGATTTCAATTGGAAGGCACCATCCTTCATCCTTGCAGGCCTTAGTTTGGTTGGCTGGTTGGTTGCTTGGTTGGTTGGCTGGTTGGTTGCTCGGTCAGTGGGTTGTGGGCTCTCTGGTGGAGATCCAGTCTGAGTGTTGAGGCGGGTCTGCTCCGTTGCTTGAAGTTGCTTCAGGGTTCTGACGAGTTCAGTCAGGGCGTGTGTGGTGTTGTCTTCTTTGGGCTTGGTTTTGGCAGGGTTGGGACTGCCATGATTCCCTGATTTTCTTGAGGTGCACGACCTCACCTCTAAGCAACCCACCTGAAAAGGCCAAGTTAACTACTGGTTTGGTTTGTTTGTCCCAACTCCGGGGGTTACTTACAAGAAAACCATGTTCAGCCTCTGCTTTTCACATTCCCAGCCACCAGCTCTTGGGTTTCTACGTCTAGGCCACGAAACGGTCAGGAGACCCCTCCTTTGGCCCTTAGCCCCGATTCATGAACCAAAGGAACCAGCGAACGAGGAACTACCGGAAATTGGGCAAACCCACCAAAATCAAGGATTTCAATGCTGGTTTGATAGAATTGTTAGGGGAATCGGGGATATGTCATGAATTTCTCTAAAATGTTCAATACGAATCACTAACAACATAGCACCACTTCCCACCCGTCAGCTTCCTTCGATTTCTTCCTTCGATTTGCTCCTTGCGCGAGGTGCTCTGTAAAGCTGCCAAAGTCCAGTGGCGAATTCTGTCGGTCCATCAGCCTACGAAACCGGCGGAGGTGTGTGTAAATCGGTTTCATGGGTTATATGGCCGTGGAATTAACTGCAAACCCGGTTATAGGTAGACGTCATCGCGGGATTTATGCCCACCAAGCGTTCCCCATGAAAATCAACCGCCAGGTTTGTGTTTATGTTGAGGCTTGGTGCCCATCTTTGGTGGTTGAAAGGGAAACCAAAGGGAAACCCGAAATCCATTGTGGGGGTACCCCTATATTGACACGTACGCATATGTAGGCTATGTAGACAGCTTATAGGTAGGTTATACATAGATAGCCAAATCCGCACGATTGGTCAATCGGTTACGTCATCCTGGTTTTACATGATTGCTACGGTTTGAATCCACTTCATCCTCACAAATATGTCCTTATGTGTGTGTGTGTGTGTGTGACCAAATCCCTGCCCTGGTCCAGCAAAGAAGAACGTGTTATACGTTGACAACAAGTTGGTTGGTTGAGATGTATCAGTCACCCCTGGACATCTCATAGCTGTGTGAATTACGATAGACGATAATTCACAAAGGCGCGTGAGTAAGTCAGCCTTACTTTGTGGTTTGGATTGGTAATCCCTCATGATGATGAGCCCGTGTGGCGGTCTGTCAAAATTTGGCGCGAGAGGGGGTCCACAAATGGATCCCTCAGTTTGACAGGCTTTCGCGACGCTGCTCACTTCCCAGGTTGATTGGCAACCAAAGTTCAAGGCTTGTTTAATCTTGTGTACTAATACGGGGACTGAATCTTCAAAGAAAGGCAAGGAGAACGAGAAACAAACGGATGCGGAGCAAACTGAGAGCGAAAGCAGCTGTGGGCGAAGAAGCACACGCACGCAACAACTGACCGTGCCAACGACCCTCTGCTGCTTTCGATTGATGTAAGGCTTGTCTCTGCTTTGCGCGCGTCCCCCCCCGCCCCCCGCACGCATCAATTCCAGTTCAGTATTGGGAGTCAATGGATCGAGTTAGTTTGCGGCCCGTGCCCGTTGGTTCGTGTTGGCTCTGACAGCAGAAGTGTTCTTGTCAGGTAGCTGGTCTGCTAGCGGAGCCAGGTTGGTTTCCGGACAGGTTCGATGGTTCGGAGGGACCCCCAATTCGTCTATTTTGCTTGGCATGCCACTTAAAACGCTGCCAAAACCATGTGTTTGTTGATTGCAAAACAAAGTTTGTCGAAAGAATCTTACTTCCGCTCTGCTCAGTTCTCTTTAAATGCCACACCAAGCCCGCATGTCTCTGCCTCTGGCCTTTTCACCGTCTCTGTCTCCCAATATGGAACGTGGAACTGCTTCAAATCTCCTCACCGGTGCTTCCCCTTCTGGCTGCGTGCACTGTCTGGAAATTCTTCGCAAGGATGCTTTATTGGAAACAATGTTCCCCAAACACTCTGTCTTCCCCCAAGCCTTTTGAGTCTTTGCATTTGCACCAGCATGTCTAGAGAGGTTAGAATAAGGGTACCCTTTCTTTCTGTAGTCTATTTTAGTAGGGGAACCCTCCCCAAAAAAGGGTACAAGGGCACTACTGGGGGACCTAGGTGTCTTAAGCGCAACCCTTTCGAGCCCAGTTTCCCGCTCCAGCCTCCAGCCTAGTCTGTCCCGCCTGTTGACCCGTTGAAGCCAAAAACAGGTTGAACACGCATTGAAGCTCTTAAAGATCCCGAGGGGATTTGAAGCCTTTGACGAGACGTTGAGAAAGAGAAGCAACTTGAAAACTTCCATTGTTTCAGCTTTCAACTTTGACTTTGAAGGCAAAGCTCCAACCTTCAGGTCTGTCGGTCCTGAACCCTGGCCAGGTTTTCCTTCCAAGGTCTTCATGTAGAGGGGTCCATAGGGAAGCAAACCACGCCCTTCGCATCGCCTGGTTGCGAGGCCCGGCTTCTCATCTGCGTGCACCACCAAAGGCACGCCGTAGAGGTGCCAGGCCTCGATGCCTGGCGCGCGAAGCAGAATGTACCAGGTGAGAGAGGCTGAGGGCGCCCGACCAAGCTCACAGCACCCAAGGACCCTCCCAAAAACCAACATACAACCTACGCCGGGACCGGTTCCTGGAAGACCATTTTCTTGTAAAGACCCCATGCAGGTTCCTTGTATGTCTTTGGGAGGGTACTCTGCACCAAGGCCCCAGACCAAAACGCAATGTCCAGAAGTTCTGGAATGGGAGACCACAGGCAGCCGGGGAGTGCGTGGCTAGTGGCCATTGGCCAAACCGAATGGGATAGAGCCTCGTCCAACGGATCCAAATCTGTTTGAGCCAACAAGGGGCTGATTCCAATTGGCCGGTTTGATTCTTAAGGCTTGGTGGCACCTTTGTGGCGACAAACGCTGGGACAAATGTAGGGGACACCACAACAGAGCCCTCAAAACGTGCTAGGGGGGCTATTTTGAGCAACCTCCAGGTTAAATCGGATTCACAGGCGCAGTAATCCATGCCATTTCTATGTGTATATAGATATATATATATATACGTATATACAAAAATATGTATATATATATGTATATGTATATGTATGTATATATATATATATATTTGTGGGGGGGGGGGGGACCGGGGGGGGGCCTTCAATTTGGAATTCCATGAGGGTTTTCGATTTTAGACCCAGATCCTGAAGCCTTGGACCGCGCCCTCGGCACTTGGCACACCGCTCCTCATGGAATCCCCTGTTGGCTTCCCCTCCTTAAGGGACTCTAGGGACCCACCCCTCTTACGGATTCCAACAAATAGCTTTGCAATCGAAATTTATATAACGGGAGCTGAAAGGCAGGCAGATCGGCAGATCTGCAGATCTGGACTTGGTAAGTCAAACAAGCCCTGCTAAAGGATCCTGTGTGCTTTGTTCTTTGTATTAGGCAACACCTTTCCGGGGAACACCGTAACCGAAGACCACCGGTTTCCAGGGAACGGGTCCCCTAACTGCCAATATGTGACACTGCCAATTCTTGTTCCGTTGGTTGGCGTTCCCTTCAAGTGGCTTCTGGGTGATTGGTGGACACCCTCTTAGATGCAAGCCCTTTCTGCATGTCTACCCTTAAGTTTATAAGTGGCAACATCGGTTGAAACCGAGCATACAACAGGTATGAAGCAGTACTCAAACATACTACTTGAAAGTTAAAACTTGGTCCTATGATGAAATCATCCAGGATTGAGGGGAAACCTATAGGGTGGCCTGTTGAATGGGTGACCTGTTGAATGGGTGACCTATAGTTGTTCTATAGTTGGGTGACCCGTTGAACGGTTCCAACAAATGCATTTCAATTGGATGCAAATCTGCATCCTTTGGTGCAACTTTGGAGCTGTCCCATTGGCTTGCAGGTGTTGGTTGAATGAAGCGGTTTTGGGGATTCCCAAATACAGGAAAACATTGGAAGGTATTTTCTTGGGGTCATTCAAAGGAAACCATAGGCTGGATATAGGTTGGATGGTTTTTGCTTGAGATCATTTGAAGCAAAACATAGTAGGTTGGATGGGTTTATTTGGGACATTTAAAGGAAACTATATTTGGACATAGGTCCTATAAGTTGGATAGCTTTGCTTGGGGTCATTTCAAGGAAACCGTGGTTGGATACAAGTTGGATGGTTTTTCTTGGGGTCATTTGAAAGGAAATCATAGGTTGGATATAGGTTGGATGGTTTTTCTTGGGGCCATTTAACGGAAACCATAGGTTGGATATAGGTTGGATGGTTTTTCTTGGGGCCATTCCATTTCTCATTCCCTGCCTATCGAATCAGCAAGTTGAACAGGGAATGACACTTTGAAAGCAAACACCGGTCGACAAAGCTCCAACAAACAAAAAAGTCTGGACCAGGGATAGAAAAAGGCTTAAATCTGGGTTCAACCCTTTTAACATGCAGTATTTAGCCTATTTCGTCAAAATGTATTAATGCTGGTTCCCCCCCCCCCTCCCCCCTCTTTGCTCCCCCACCGCCCCCACCGCCGCCCCACCCCCACCGCCCCCACCGCCCCCCCCTCTCCCCCAACCCAAAATCAAGGAAAACAAGGACGAAGGAGACGGCCTTCGTTTCTGGCGGGGCATTTTCGTTTTCGTTCTGCGCCGCGCCTTCGCGCTTGACCAGCCGGCGGAAGTAAAACTCACACCGCGCCAGGCGCGCCGTGGCCGCCTTCGCTGGGAGGCAAATTGGGAAGGAAAAGACTCAAAAGGGCCCTTGAGTCGTCAATCTCCATATTGGGCGTTTCTCAAAATTGAGATAACCCGGACTTGCCGTGCTAAGTAGGTTACAACCCTAACCACTTACCCTCAAAGATCTTTTCGTCAAGGGGCTTTTTGAGAGGCAAATCCATATGGAGGTTTCTCCAAATGGGTATCCCTTTTTGGAGGGGTCTTGAAGGGAAACCAAAAGGAACCACCTACCTGGAGCGGTGGCCCTGTTTCTCCAACATGCCGGTGTTTTGGGCCAAGGGGTACAATAGTCATGAAACTTGGTGTTGCAAAAACAAGGCAAGTCAGACTTTGGGGGGTCCAGACGGGAAATCTTCGCGTCTCTGGGTCCAGGGTCCGTTCAAGAAGGGCCCAGGGATGTGGGTCCCGGGGTTGATCCCTTGTGTCTCTTGTGGGGCTAGGGGCTGATTCCTGCTCCGTTCGTTTCATTTCAAAGAACTGGCTTGGGTGCTCGCTGGTTGGGAAGCAGTATCGACCTGGAATGTAGAAGTTGCCCCCGGTCGAGACCAAGCTGTTCGTCCCAAGTCGAGGCCGCCAAGAGTGGTGGGGTTGCCCTGCGATCCTCTCTCAAACCACGCTAACCCAAAAGATTGGGTTGATCTCTAAATGGGCGTGGAAACCCAAAGCCCAAATGGGAGACCCAAAGTTGCTGCTCCTCTTCCACACCCGGATTGCTTTTCGACATGCAGGTGCATGCCTTGGGAAAAAGGCGGGCACCCTGCTTTGGTAGCTTTTACAGGGACACCCTTCCTGAACGCTTTTCAGGCTCCAAGTTTGCGCCGTGCTCAGCTGTCGCCGCCGTATTGGGAAGCACCCCAGGTCACAACAGCCCCAGATTCAAGAATGGCAACAAAGGCACCGGCAGTTGCTTGGATGCGCTGGGCGTCCCTCAGCCGCTCTTGCACCTGGCTGCTGTCTCCTCCGTATGCTGCATGGCCCCAGGTCACAACACCCCCAGAATTAAGAACGGCAGCAAAAGCAGTGGCAGTCGCTTGGATGTGCTGGACGTTCCTCCGTTGTTCTTGCACCTGGCTGCTGTCTCCGCCCAAGTCTGCATCACCCCAGGTCACAACAGCCCCAGATTCAAGAATGGCAACAAAAGCACTGGTTGGTTGCTTGGACGTGCTGGACCTTTGTCAGCTGCTCTTGCACCTGGCTGCTGTCGCCACCACGACGGGGACCACCCCAGGTGACAACTTCCCCAGATTCAAGAATGGCACCAAAAGCACAGGAAGTTGCTTAGATGTGTCGAACATTCCTCAGCTGCTCTTGCACCTGGCTGCTGTTTCCGCCATTAAATGAAATGCCCCAGGTCACCACAGTCCCAGATTCAAGAATGGCAGCAAAAGCACCAGCTTGAGTTGCTTGGATGTGCTGGACGTTCCTCAGCTGCTGTTGAACCTGGCTACTGTCTCCACCATGGTATCACCCCAGGTCACAACTGCCCCAGAGTCAAGAATGGCAGCAAAAGCACTGGCAGTTGCTTGGATGTGCTGGACGTTCCTCAGCTGCTCTTGCACCTGGCTGCTCTCTCCGCCCGATTCTGGATCACCCCAGGTCACGACAGTCCCGGATTCAAGAGTGGCAGCAAAAGCACCGTTGGTTGCTTGGACGTGCTGGACCTTTGTCAGCTGCTCTAGCACCTGGCTGCTGTCTCCGCCGTGCGGATGACAACCACCCCAGGTCACGCCCAGATTCCAGAATGGCAGCAAAAGCACTGGCAGTTGCCTGGATGTGCCTGACATTCCTGAGCTGCTCTTGCACCTGCCTACTGTCACCGTCGTATCCTTTATCACCCCAGGTCATGACTACCCCAGATCCCAGAATGGCAGCAAAAGCATAGTCATTTGCTTGGTGCTGGACGTTCCTCAGTTGCTCTTGTACCTGTCTGCTGTCTCCGCCGTATCCTGGATCACCCCAAGTCACAACCTCGTCCCCGTGGTCATGCAAAGCAAACGCCTTACTAGTGGCTGCGCACAGTTTTCCAAGCTGCACAACCGCAGTAACTAAGTCCCCATCTCGCAACCCGGCCTCGTTCAGTGTGGCTGTCAAATCGAGCTGCTGCCCTTTTGCAGTAAGCTTCAAACGTTGCTGGAAATGCTTCTGCACTGCAGCCTTCAGTTCGCTCATGCGCATAGCCGGTGAGACTTCTACGGAGAAACCATCTCCACTTGGCAAGTGAACATCCAGCTTCATGACGCAGGAAGGTTCTTCTTGGTGTATGCAAGCTGCCAAACACGAATCTGAGACACAGAAACATGTGAATTGGGGAGGGGTTCTCTGTAAATGCTTGTCAACCATTTGAATGAAACATATTTCAGGGTCTTGAACTGTCTCTCGTGTGACCTCCCAGCTGCAGCACTTTGCGACTGGAGGTCTTCAGCTGAAGAGGACCGGACCCAAAGAAAGTTGGATCGCTGTTTTTTGGTGAGCCATATCCAAAGCCGTGTAAAGGAGCATACCCAAAACTCAGGGTAAGGATCTACAAAGACAAGAAGATTGCGATTGTTTCCTACTCCTGTCCTGCTCTGGTCAGATTGTGGCTTTGGCGTGCAGCGAGCCTTTTGATTTTGGGCCGTGATGAAATTCATATGAACAATACAACTTGGTGATGTAGATATGTTCTTTGTGCATTCAGGGGCCCAGATGCACCTTGTGGCCCCTATAATTGAAAATGCCGTAGTAGAAGTGTAGAAACCCTCTTTAAGGGGGCCCCCTCTTGGTTTTCGTGGTTCCCCAAAACAGAGGCAGAGGTAAATCCGAATGTATGATGTCGTCAAGCCCAGACAAAGAGTTCGCTGGGTTCTTTTCCACCCCGCCAAGCTTGCTAGAGGCGCGGAAAGGACCAAACCTCATCAGGGCATACGGTTCTATATCTGCCGACATTGTTCGGCGTGTCGGACATGGAAGAGAAGATCGGGGCTCCCCCCCTGCTCCCCGAAACACGGCAATTACACACTTTGGCTGAAAACATCGAAAAACACGGTGGTGTTTGACTTCCTTTTGCTGAAAGCAACATTGGAAAACACAATATTTGTTGATTTCATTTTCCTGAAAAAATAGAAAACCACTCTGTTTTTCGACCTCCTTCCAGTGAAATGTAAAGGAAATGCAGATGACATGAAGGGGATATGACGGGGAAAAGAAGGGGACCTGCAGGGGACAAGTACTTCAAATGAAAGGACGTCTAGGGGGAATTACACGGAGCTAAATTTCAAAGGGAAGCTGAAACGGACAGGAAAAGGAAAGGCGCAAGATGTGAAGGGGGAATGACGGGGAAATGAAAGGAAATGAAAGACACTCCAAGGGAAACGAAAGGATTTGCAAATCGTTGGATATGCAGGGGTGGGGGTCCCCCGCGTAGAGAGCTGTAGGGAAATCATTGGATATGAAGGGGAAGCTGGTCTGGATTGGTTCCACAGGGGTCGCGGTGGAAACGAAAAGGAAAGGCGCAAGATATGAAGGGGGCATTGACGAGGAAATGAAGGGGACACGAATGGAAACGAAAGACAGTGACTCAGAACCGACTTGCAGGGGAGGAAAGGCATGGAAACGAAAGGCAATGCCTGGGAAAGGAACCGAAACACAGGGAGCTGTGGCGGGTCTGGATTCGCGGTGGAACCGAAAAGGCAAGGCGCAAGATATGTTGGACTTTGACATCAGGAGCGTCAACAGGCTTGTGGTGCATGCTGCATGGGTGGTTCCGGGATGCGTGAGCAGCAACCGACCAAAGGACGGAGATCTTGGGCCAGGTAAGAGTTCCCCCCGCTTGCCAGGTGGGAAGACGTCCGTTGGATTGATGTTGTTTTCAAGCAGAAGTGGCTCACAATAATTGGAAGTCTATCAAGCTTGCCTAAATGGTCGGGGGCTTACAAACAAAACATGTCAAAACAAAGCATATGCAATCGCATGCAGTGTTTCTCAGTTGTCCGCCGACGTTGTTCGGCGTGTCAGGTACCTAAGAGGGCAGGGACAGAGGCGTCCCGCGACACGTCAATTACGTAGTCCCACGTTCCACGCGGCAATTTGATGACGACTAAAAGTAGTGTGATCCGGAGAGACAGGGGTCCCAGGCTCGAATCCCCCTGCCGGCTCTCTGCCGGTTTGCGTCCGCCGCCTCCTTTTTCGACCTTTGTGCGAAAACGCTGAAGACTACCGTGTTTCAACCGTGGAGCTCGGCCTCCTTCAGGCTGAAAAACGGGGCGAAGCTGTTGACATCAAGGAGAAGTGGGTCCGGCAGCGCGGAGGAAATGCAGAAGACGCGTTGGGGAAAGCAGATCGGGGAACTTGGACACTGCTTGGGTGCTGCAGAGCGGCTGCCAGGGACACCAGGGAAGCGGGTGTTGCCCAGCTTGTGTTTTCCCAAAATGTTCAATGGGCGCTGGATGCGAGGTGAGAGGGACTTGCAGGGGTTGGACGGGGAAGGACGGGCAGGCTCGGTCTAAACATTTGGGTTTCGGACTCTATAAAGAAAAGTGTCTCGATGCGGCGCGGCCCAATGGCTGAGCCTACGCAAATATATGAAAGCAATGCAAATGCAAGTGCGACCTTAAAGGCCTACCCAGTTGAAATCAAGGAAACCCAGGGGACCCAAAGAGAATTCTGAACAAGCAGCAAGACGCGCTTGTTTTCTTTGAGCCGAAACATTCAAAATGCGTCTTGTCATGACGTGGATGTTCTGCGAGCAAGGTATGATAGCAGCACTCTATAATTCAGGGGGTACCTGTGGTGCCGATATGGTTCGTGAATTAACAACTGATTCGGACAAAAACCGCGGCAACATCCTGAGCTTCAGGGATTGCCTCTTAGATAAGCTTGCGAGCATGGGCCATAAACTGAGCTTCGCAAATCCCAGTTCAAAAGAAACGAGACAGTTGATGTGACAAACTAGGTCCACGGAAGTGACATCTTGATGACCCAAGCAAAGGAAACCACCCCCAAAGGTAATTTCTCCCCATCCGAAATCCAGGTTCGTGAGGGAAATCATTTATCTGGGTTCTTCGCAATGGGGATAACACCTGAGCTCAGAAACGAGAAGAGTCATCATTGAAACCACGCGCTGAACCATGGCGCAGATGCGACTACCCTCCCTCGAACAATCATGGAAGTGAGTCCCGGAGGCTTCCTCAAAACAAAACGTAGGCTTCCAAGACCCTCCTGTCAACTCCACGATTGTTGGAGAGAGGGTACTTCCACCTTTTCCTGAGACCCACGTTGGGGTGAATTTAAAGGGAACAAACACCACCCGACATGGGTAAACCAGAATGAACATATCAGCACACATCCACAGGAGTGTCAAATTTCGGCCCCTCAAATGCAACCGCTTTTGGGGTTGACTTTAAATGGACGCCCAGCCACAAAGGAAAACAAGGAAACATGGCCGTGGAAAATAGCCCTTCTCAAATTTATTGTTACGACAGAACATGAGAACCCAAAACTTGCTTGGGTGTTTCTGGGCTTCTGACTTGTTTTTTGTGGGTGCTAGTGGTTTTGTCCATGTTCTGGCGGGTGTTTGGACAAAGATCTTCTTTGTCTGAAGGACCTGGACAAAAAACGGCAAACCTTTGCCGCCATCAAAATGTGACCCCCAAAACTTGGCTGGAATTGGGACCCCAGCAAAACATCTAGGTTTTTTTGACGGGTTAGTGGAAAACAAAGGGACCCAAAAAAAAAGCAAAGCAAACAAAAAGGGGAAGAACATTATGGGGAAGAAAACGGCAAACCGACCAGAATCCGAAAAACAACGCAACAATAACCGCCTCCTGCTGGCCGGGCACCATGAAGATCACCGGGGAGCCTCGAATTGATTAGTGAGCCCATATAGGGGGTTTCTCAAAAAAATATTATTATAAACATTAATTAATTTGTTAAAACATGAATCATATTGAGTTTGATTATAACATATTTTCAAACAGAGGGGTCCACCACAAATGGTTGGTGCCCTTTCTGATTTCCTTTCTAAATGCCAACCCAAGAAATTACCACTAGAAAAAAAAAAAAAAAAACATTTTCCGCTTATTGCAACCCATTGAGGGGGTACCCTATTCTTGACCCGCAGCCATATGGGGGTACCTTTTAAGGGCTGCCTTAAGGCTAGCTGTGTTGGTGTGGGAAACCAGAGCAAAACCAGAGGGTTCCCAAGGAGTCATCAAACCCATAGGGTTGATCAAAAGGGTCCGAGAAACATGGGATGGAAAACCCCATACACGGCTGCCTTTGGCCGGGTACCTGTATTGTGGTTGTTTTGGTTTGGGAAACCAAAGCAAAACCAGCCTGAGGCCTGAAAGAGGGTCCCTACAGGAAAATTGCTTTTTGGGAGGGCAATCTTGGGTAAACGGAAGGACGCCTGCGACAAACCAGTCGCATTGAGCAACACAAATGCTACCACGCAAGACGCCACAACTGGATTAATGGAATCCTTCAGCGAAATGGGCTGCAAAGGGGGCAAGCTACTTGGATTGCTAGTCCACGGCAGGTGCATTAGAACATTTGCTATTGGTCAACCAACACCTGCTCTCCCAGTTAGAACTATGGTGAAAGCATCAAGTGATTAAGTGCGTTCAGCATCCAAGACTGCCCTGTCCCGCCTACCTTAATAAGGTAGCATTTCACTCTTCTTGGAGTGGAGCTATTTGCATGTGCTGGTTGTCTTCTTTTTTAAGCGGCCTTCGCAAATCCGTGGGGCTCACACGGTGGCAAGCTGCGTGGTGAACCGGTCGAGATCAAGCTAAGCGTTTTCCACAAGTGGAATGAGTTTCCAGTGGATGGCTGCCCTCTCTCAATTCCACGTCTATATAATTTCTCTGTTTTCTGTCCAAGGGTGGGCATGGCTGCGTTATGATTTCTCTTGAGTTTGTCAGGATCCCTTTCGCTTTGTTCTTTTCTTGGTCCCATCTTGGGCCCATGAGCTTTTCATATTTCTGGCTGTGCTTCACGCAACTCGAAGCCACCGGATCCAATAAAGTTAGCAAAATGGGCGGCTCGCCCTTTTTTCCTGGGTACGGTTTTTGTGGGTGGTTTTACATGGAAACCAAAAATGAACATCATCATTGTAGGGGTCCCCTAAAAAACACAGACACACCCAAAATCAACCAAATCAACTCAGGCAACTCTTGGAATCACCAGGACCGTGTAGTATGCTCTGGATCAAGCCAAGGGAAGTACCGGGGTAACCAGGGACTGCCGTGCCCTGCATGTACCCATGCCAAGACGAGGAGCACATGCAACGGACCGTCTTGAAGCAAGGCTCCGATTCCTGGCATGCGGACAAAGGCAAAAACACGCCCCCACGGCCCCCGGCCCCCCAATGGCATGTCATCGCGTGGCACTTTGCAGGACATTTCTCATTTCCCCCTCCCCACCCCACCCCTGGCCCGCTCCGCAACCGGGCTGTTGTTTGCATTGGCTGCCAACCAAACCAACTGGTCCGGGGTCTTCCGGTGCATTCCAGTTGTCCAGTGGGGTCCTTTTTCTCCACGGGAAGGGCGAGGCTGCCAAAAAGAAACCGACAAGCACATTCGTTCAAAGTCCAGTGTCTCCTCCGAATCGGTATACTGAAGCGTTCATCCAGTTGCCAAAAATAATTTCAGTGGATGAAGAAGGGGCAACATCTTTGATTTTGCGCCACTGCTATGGTCCATGCAATTCTGTAAGTGGTTTCCCAGTTGGCCAACTTCCTCAGGGAAGCCCGAGGGTACTAAATGCTTTCTCATTTGGGGTCACCAAAATTTCTTCCCAGGTCAAACAAATGCGGGGTGAGGCTCAAGCACCACCCCCCTTGCCCCACCATGTGCACGTCGCCCAATGCCCAGGCCACTGGGGCCGTCAAGGTTTGCGGCCTCGAGAAAACGCGGCACACGGGCCCCAAACATGTTCCCCGGCAACACATCACCCGCCTTGGGCCAAGGTGATGTTGAAACCCGCCAAAAAGGGGAAAATCTAGGGACCCCTGTCAACCCCCGTAAAACCCGCAAAAAGAGGTTCCTGAAAAGGAAAGGAAGGCACCAAACACGCGGTTTCCCCGGCAGGTTCCAACTTACGCCGCATAGAGAAGCCAGGCTGGAACTAAATGGTCTCCAATTGTGGAACTAAATGGATCTGTCTCAAAAAGAATGATGGGGGTTTGACGGAAATCGCAACATGTATACTGTAAAAATAATTTTAATGTGGAACCCAAGAAGAATCCTCTATTCAATGGCTAAAATCGGTTCAGCGATCAATTTCCCACCAAACAAACAACTTAGCGCATGTGGGAAAGAATGCCCAATGGTCCACAGCTTGCACCACATGTTTCCCCCAAAGACACATCCAACGACCTAAACAAAGAGATCCTCCAAGCTGGCGTAACATGGTCATGTGGGTTTGTCTCAAAATAGGGGAACCCACCCCCATGAGCAAAAAATAATGGTGGTGTCCCTTTGGATTCGAATAGAAAACTCCAACAAATTAAAGAGGAACAACATAATACGTGGTTTCCCCGTTGATTTTGAATAGGGGACCCCCCCACTAAAAAAGTTAAAAAAACAAAAAAACAATAATATATATATATATATATATAACACAATGATAAGTGGTCTCCCTTTTTAGGTGTCCCCCTTAACCAAGCCCCGAACATTTTGGTACATCCAAAAAGAACCAAAAAGCGAGCCACCGGGGCTTGAGAAGAACCGAGCGAGTTCGACCCGCCCCTGCTGAAGGCGAGTTCGACCCAAAGCCAAGGGAGAAACTTTCCAGGGAGAAGTTTTAGAGGTTGCGGACCACTTATATTCAGATTATGAAGGTATGGGATATACTTTAGGTATGGAGGAATGGAGGTATATTTAGGTTGTGGGTCCTTTGAGGTATGGAGATTATATACCACTTATACTTATTTAGAAGGGATGTAGACTGACTTACGAACTCACATTGGTCGTTTATAAGTATCCATGCCTCCCACCACAGCTGAACGTGCACTTGACTCATTTTGGATCTGATATGGGTGTGTCTCATAATGGGGGCATCCCCTCACAAAACCAACAACATCTGATGTCCTGTGTGTTCCTTGAAACCAAACCAAAAGATGGTACACCAACAAAAAGACAACCCCATATTCAGGTGTGTCCTAAATCGTACGGATCAACCAAGACCTGGCTGGTGTCTTTTTCTCACGAATATCCGGTACTTGCTTGCCCACAGGGAAGAGGACAATGGTGGAATCCAGGGCGTCTCTGCAAATGGGTTTCTTTTGGGAAAACAGATGGTACTATTAAATGATTAGAGCCAACCTGCAACCAGTGCCATCTATGCTCAACCAAACTGACCTAAAAAGGCCAGCTATGGAATCATGTCCCATTCAAGTAGCGCCCAGTGTCAGTGTCCATCAGGGGCAAGGTTGGGCCGACCACTTCTTTAAACATATTTGGCCCAATCATGGGTTGCCCCAGTTGGGTGTGACATTTAACTGGCTGGACGCTTGGTGAACATCATTTGGCTCGAGATTCTGCCCACCGACCATTTGGGAGGGGTTCCTCAGACAAAAATCCATATCCGTTTTAAGAGGTTGGACCCTTGGTGGACATTCTAAGACACACACACATACACGAAGAAGAACAAAAAAAAGAGCAAGCCGTATCCAGCCGCATCCCCGCCCATTGAGCCCTCCGGCAACTGCAGGTCCAGAGAAATCTGCACCAAGAGCCGCTTCCGCAAAAACCGCAGCCTCGAGCTTCGTTTAACCAACGAAACGACACCCGTCAATGACACCCCGTCGATCCCCCCAAAAAGCAAAAAGAACAAGTGGAAAGGGCTCTCAAAATGACAAGGGACCCTTTTCAGAAGTCTAAATGGAAAGGGGTCTCAAAATGGAAAGGGCCCTTTTGTAGGTAGTTCAAGGGAAACCAAATTTTGTCTCACCCCAAACAATTCCGTGTGTGTGTGTGTGTGTGGGTTGGGTTGCGTTGACCTTTGGGAAGACCAAGACTGGAAGAGTGCGTTTTGGGGGCTGTTGTCTTTGGAGGGGTCGTAGGAGCAGTCGTACAAGTTGGAAAAAACAAGGTCACCGGGCGTCCCTTTCTAGTGGCAATTCAGCGACGGAGTCCAATAAAACTGCGCCTTTCGGACCGCTCGGCTTGTTTGGGCAGAGACCCCATAGCTGTCAGATGTTGATCAAAGATGTAAACAGGGCAACCCTCTTTCCCTTCTTGAATTGAAGAAAGTACCTCTTCTTGCTTCCCAAACTCTCAAGGACCCTCCCAGAGACACCACAGAGCCCTCAAGTAGCTCCTTTTTGAAAGCCGAGCAAACACCAGCCTTTCTTTCAGTTGGTTTACTTCCCACCCACTCACCCAGAAAGGTGACAAAGCAGTTGGGTTGAGTGGTACAATTGAGCCTCCACACAGCTTTGAAAAAACAATGGAAGAGGAGCAGCCAGCTCTCGTAAGCCCGCTTCGCCGTCCTCCCGTGTAGATCTTTATCTTATGAGAGACAAAGGCCCCCGGCACTGCGGACTTCGTGCCAGCAACGCACACCTCCTGAGGCGGTGATCAACCCCCCACTCCCAGTCCCCCGTTGTTTCCTCCTTAGCTAAGGTCTGATTTAGGGTCTGATTTTGGGGAAGCACCACCCCACACCCCAGGAATTGTACTTAGAAGATCTTGGAAGGGTTCCTGCCTTTCTAAGGACGGCGAAAAAGATTGCGGCCAAAGGTCGCCTTTGCATTCAGAGACCCAACAAAAGCAAACACATCCGAACAACCAATCCCTCATGATGGGCCAAAGAAAGTCCAAACTTCTTGTTTACCACTAAAATCGTCTTCCCAAAAAGCTTGGCATCCAACTCCGTAAGTGAGCTTTAGCAACGCCTATTGCGAATGCAATTGACAGGTCTTGGCTTTTGGGGTACTTGCCCAGGCTTGGGGAAGAAAGAGCGAATCCCAAAACTTCTGGCGCGTGGTGCGTCAAATCGGAAACCTCTCTGACTGACACAGAGGAAAGCAAGCTGCAACGAAAAGCCATGAGAAACTCTCCTGTGTTTGGTCGAATCTGAAGGGAAGCCACACAGAAATAGAAACGAAAGGGCATCTTACTGGAGATCTAGCTTCGGGTGAAGAAAACACACACATGCACACCCATTTAGAAACCGGGCAAGGGACAATGGCAACTTGTCGATCCATTCGGATGGACATGGGCTGAAACAATAGGCGCTTAGACATAGCTATCCAAAACAGCAAGACCCCAAAAATAGCGGTTACGTGTTTAAAGCCAGGGGTATTCAATCCAGAAAACCGACCATGAAAACTGTTGTTTTCCCTCTTCCCATTCTAAGCCAGCCTAAGCTTGCCTGACTCACAAGGGGATGTTCCGCGTAGCCCAAAGGCCCCTTGGCTGTCCAACAGTTGCTGGATTTCCCCTAAACTGGATGAATTGACTGGCGACAAGCGGTGTCCATTGAAAGCATGGGTTTCCACTTTCGGAGGTTCCCTTCCAAACAAACTGCAGGACACCCTTCTGGGTGAACTATAATATTTCACCAGCCTGAAACCTGCGGTTGGGGCTATTCCCAACATAAACCAACATTTTTTTGGGGTGAATTCGGTCGTGTGAGGTCGTTATAATTCACCCAGGCCCTTTTTCTACCATGACCTGGGAGCTCCCTGGCTCAATTCGAACCAGCCAGTTTTCGCCACCTTGACGCCCGGCACGGCGGCATTGCCCGTCCTGAGGTATCGAAACGAGCCATCTGTGCCGTGCCCTTCGCCCGTTCTGTTTGTTTGTTTGTTTGTTTGTTTGTTTGCTTGGTTTTGTTGGCTTGCTTGCTTGTTAGTTGGCTTGTGTTTTGTGTTGGGAGGATCAAGTTACTCAGTGGATTCTCAGGCACTGTAGCAGGTGGACCCTGCAAAATGGTTGGGGGTCGTGATATGTTCCGTCCTTCAAAAAACACATCCAAAATCCATATGTCCTGGCAGTGTTCAAGGCTGATTCTCTGACCTATAAGGAAATGGAACCACTGGGTCGACGGGTATAATTTATCCCAAGTCGGCATGAACAATCATGCTAGTGCACAACTTGACATGTAGTTCAAGAATAAAGCATGTGTGGGATTCTTTGATTGGCACTGGCTGGGTCCTGCCCACAGCAGCTCACAATACACAGCTCGGAGCTGTTCAAAAGGTCCAGAAAGGTTCGGAAGGAACAAGGGCCACCGCTGGGTGTCTCCAAACCCCTTGTTTCACCAATCCAAACCACCAATCCCTCACTTCCTGAGTGGGTTGGCCAGAAAACGTCCAGACTCTTTGTTTACCACTAAAATGGTCTTCCCAAAAAGCTTCGAGTCCAGGAACTCACGGGGAGTGAGATCGAAACCACCAATCCACCAATTGAGGGAAACCGAACAAACGAACGTCCCCTTGTGAAAACAAATTAGCAACTCGGTGAAGTCACAGACCCTCGACTCGCAAGACGCCGCATGTGTCTACAATTTTGGGTCCCCGTTGTGACAGGGAAAGCAGAAGGACGCCATTCCTAACTGGGGACTTGGATCCCCTCCAAAAACATCTCTGGAAAATCAAGCAAAACCAAAGGAACACACCAAACAGGTGACTCAATTTCTGGCAATGCTGAAGCTAACCTTTTCTCAACGCGATAGATGGTCCCTCTCGGAAACCCCCGGTACTGTAGCCCACGTCCCAAACCTGGCTGGAGATGTTCCTGCGATGGTTTTCACTCAACGACGATGGTAGAAAATGGACCCCTCACGCGAACCAAAGGAAGCCATTCACAACTTGTCTGTTATTTGACCGTCCAAAGGCTTGGTCACCTCCATTTGCGTTTATGCCCCTGGAAGAAACAAGCATATGTTCAGCGACAGATTCCCGGTATAGCTACATCCCCATCTGCCGGTCGGTCTCCTCTCTGCCTGATTCAACGTCACAACCTGGCGCTCTGCCGAAAACGCAGCAGTTAAACCTGGGCTCTACAAGGGAACCCCACCCAAAAGAATGGACAAGGGGAACCTACCATGGGTTCCCATGTCCCGTTTGCTGTTTCCTTCAACCAAAAATACATTGTTTGTCGTCGTTCCCATAAAACGATACCTCTCCCTTCCTTGGTGTGTTGGGTTAACTGTTAAACCCCAAGGTTGAAGTAATCGTCTGGTGCCCCGCGCAAGCCACTTTTGAGTTGCCTCCAATTCAGGGCCCCCGGAAAAAAATAGTGCCAGTAGTCTGTGCCTTGCCTTACTGCCCAGAAGTCTGGGAAAGATCCATACAAGCGGCTCGTACGTGAGGGGAGGGGGTTCCTTTCAACAAAACAAGTAGATGCTGTGACCTGAAATCCGGCATGTTCGGCGTCTTGGGAACCCGACACCTTTTACATTCGACCCACATGGTTCTCAAGGTTCACCTCCCTTGGCACATACACAGCAACCAATCAAAAGATCTAAACTTCAACCAACATCCCCGCTAGCAAGCGCAGGCATTTTTTTTGTACATGGTTAACCCAGTTGCCCAGTGACGCGGCAACAACTTTCAATCCTTTTCGGGGCTGACCTTTTCTTAGGGAACTCACCAAAAGAAACATGGGATTTACAGGGTGCCATTGAATGGCGGCCGGCCTTCTGGCCATGAACCCTCCTGGGGCAACAAAAAGTGCACCCCGCAGCTGGATGTTGCATGATATGAGCGGACCATAAGCATGGGACCCGTGTGCTCCTTTTGGAGGTCCGAAAAGCTTGGAAGAGATAATCATATTCTTGGGTCACAAGTTCATCTTTAGATAAATCTGGATATGTGCGTCCTTTGGATTTCCCTACCGTCGAAAAGGGTAAATACCGAGCGATCGACCGAAAACCCATCTGGGCCGCATGTGAAATTGGTTGGAACTATCACCTATGTCCATCGACCCCTGTCCCACATAACAAACAAACAAACAAACAAACAAACAAACAAATAAAGATACGACAATTCCCGCGAAAGGCCAATTTGGGGCTGTCTGGAATTCAGAAGCCAGACATTTTGGCTGCTCACATCATCAGGCACCAGTTGGGGTGGATACAATGGGAAATCCCAACTCACGGCTAACACCCGTTAAACACCTTGCCTTGGCAGGGGGCTCTTTATTGGGTTAACCGAAGCTTTCAAGGGGACCCCAAACACAAAGAGCCGGGAGCATGTCAAGGTTCACTCCGCCCAGCGCCTTTCTTGTTGTTGGAGAAAAGATCACGGGCCATCTGAGCCGTCTGATTCGAAGCACTCAAAAGGGAGAAGTGGAAACTGTATGAAATTTGGGCGTGGCTCAACTTTTAAGAGCCAGACCGCAGGTGTTCGTCTATCCATTTGCCAGGGTTCCACTTTGAAAGCCACTGGTGCGGCCCCCTATTTTGAGCCACACTTGTTTTAGAGGTCCAATGAAATCGAAAAAAAAAAAAAAAAAAAAAAAAAAAAAAGAAAAAAAAAAAGGAACAAACAAAAACAAGATACACAAGAACCAAACAAGTCTCGGTCAACCACTGCGCGCCGTCACATCCACGCCGGCGGAGATCAAGCGCTGGGCCCCGTTGGCGAGGGCACGCCTCAGAACGCCCCGCGACTCGCGGCTGCGTCTGAACCCCGAAGGCCTCAATGAGGTCGCGGGCTAAGGGAACCCCCTGGGAGGTTTTGAGGTTTTTGAGATTTTGGGGTTTTTGAACCCTGGGAGCCCAAGACCTTAAAACCTAAAGGCCTCAAATGAGCTCTTGAATTATGTTCTGGGGTACAAATTGCAAGACACACCCCGGGTCCCTACTATGTTGTGTTATCAAAAGGAAACTCACTTGAGATGCCCAAGAGGTGATTTCTGAAACCACCAATCAGAGACAGAGACAGAGGAAAAAAAAGAGAGAGAGAAAAACAGACAGAGAGAGACACAGAGAAAGAGATAGAGAGAGAGACAGAGAGAGAGAGAGAGGGAGACAGAGAGAGAGAGAGAGAGACAGAGAGAGAGAGAGAGAGATAGAGAGAGAAACAGAGGGAGAAAGAAAGAAAGAAAGAAAGAAAGAAAAATAAAGAAAGAAAGAAGCCAAAACAAACTAACAAATCAGAAAGAAAGAGAGAGAGAGAGAGAGAGAGAGAGAGACTTGCTGTATCCCTATCTGACAATGAGGTTTTGGTAAGCAAGCCCCCAGTCCTATTTTGTAGGTCTTTTTCGCATCACGAAGTATCGCACACATTGACCGTTGCCCGTGTCATGTGGGCCACTTCAAGATCATGTGGGTACTTCTAGATCATGGTGTTCCTGTGGTTTACCTTTCAAGCAATCCAGCAGGGGCAACGATGCTCCCTGACCAACTTTGGCAAACCGGACCCCCTTTTGGCACGGTCTATGAGGAGTGGAACTGGAACCCATTGCCCCTCCAAACTGCTATTTCCCCGACTTGTGGACAACGTCTTGCTGGTTTGAAAGGGAACACCCATGGCTGCTGAATTTGGTGAAGCCGACCCCTGTAAAATGTGTTGCATCCTGCTACGGGTTGGATTGGTCAGAGAAGGGCCATGGCCCTGCCGATAGAAGCTTTAAAAACCTTCTGCAATGGGGTTGGGGTCACGCACAAATGATTCCAGTGGGCGAGTAGTGCAAACAACGTTTTCCCGCACAGTTTATATAAACACATAAGCTGGTTGTTGCTTGGTGCGGCGAGAGCCATTTTGTCCAAATCAAAATGCGCTTGTCAAACAGTGGGATCTCTTTTGCTTGGCGCGCAAGGAACAAAACCATCCCTTTCTGTTTGGAACACTTGTAAAGAGACCACCAAATGGCGCATACCTTCCTTTTCCTTCTCAAGAAGCCGCGAAAGGAGTATCAACTGCACACAAGTGTGCTGCGGTTTGCCTTCCGCCCCTTTCTCGGGAGGAAAGCACAGGCCCAAGAGAGTGTCTGAGCAAGAATCGCCCTGATCCCTTTCCAATTTACAAATGCATCCTATCAACAACTTTTGCTCTGCCACCCCCCTTCCCCCGCGAATGTTTCGTTATTCTTCTTGTTTTTTTTGAGGGGGGGGTGGGTCCAGGTGAGGGGGTGAGGGGGGGAGGGGGGGGATATTTATTAGCGGGAACAGTCTAAAAGTCCAAAAAGGCGCCCTTACGACAGTCTCAGGCATCGGCAGGACTTCGCGTGGGCGGAACGTCCAAACCTGCCAAGAACTGCGCTTTGGGCTCGTTAGTTTGGACGGCATTTTGCTGGTTGATTTTGAAGGGAAA